ATAGCGAAAAAGAAACTACAGAAGAACACTATCCACCATGAACAGAGTAAAAAAAATCCATAAACAAAATGTTAGCAATGTCATTCGTGTATGAAAAAGAGATGCACATTTATACACTACAATCAAGTGGTGTTCATGTTAGGGAAGTAGGGCTGATTTACCATTAAAAAACCAACTAATGTAAATCCATCATATAAACAGTATAAAGAAAATGATACAAACATATCAATAGACAGAAGGGTATTTGACAAAAATTTAACTTCATTCAAAATAAAAATTCTCAGAAACAATCTGTAGAGAAACTTTCTGAATCTTATAAAGTGCATCCTAATTATAAAAAGTCTACAACATACACACTTAATGGTGGAAATTCAATGCTTCCTAAGATCATGAGACAGTCTGTGTCCAATACATTTACTCAACAGTGCTAGAAATAGTGACCAGTGGAATAAGGCAAGAAAAGAAAACTAAACACAAATCAGAAAAGAAAAACTAAGGCTATCTCTATCCACATGTGACATCCACAGAATCTGGCTGGGGAGGAGACAAAGAGAGAGGAAATAGAAAGATTAAGGTTTAAACCTAACAAAACACAGATGAAATGTGTGCTGTTAACAGGCAATGCTGATGGAAGGAACAAAACAATCTAAATAAATGGACGCATACCATGTTCCTAGAGTGGAAGACTCAAAAGAGTAAAAACTTCAATTCTCCCCCAAGGTTTAACACAGTTCTTATTAAAATCCCAGCAACACTTTTCTGAAGATATAGAAAAGGTTTAGATTTCATCAGGAATAGTGAAATAAGGAACTCCACAACCTTCTTCTCTATAAAACCAATGAACAATGACAAAAACTGTCAAAATTAACTTTAATCAAACGTTTGTAGCAAACTTGGAAATGTCAACTAGCCAAACCAAATCCGCACTGAATCTTGGTAAAAGTGATAGCTTTGTAATTCTAAACATGTCCAATTCCCAAACCCATCCTGTCTCCCCACTTCTGCCATATTTTTGATAATAACCCACAATGAGAGTGAAAGCTAGCAACCCAACTACTTTTGGAGAACTGCCATCTGCTCTGTATGGCAATTTCCTAGAAAACAGTATTCATAAGGCTTGTCTTTATCCAATCTAACTCACAGCATACCTAGTGCAAAACAACTTTGTTCCTGATCTCACTTGTTAAAAACGATCAGCAGAACTACTGAATATCATAGCTGCTTGAAAAGGGTAAGAATAACATTTGTAGCAAACAACAAGCAAAGCAAAAAATCTTTAAAAAGAAACTGGATCTGAGCAGTTCAATTAGGCCTCTGGAAGCTTCTAGCGTCCAGAGCGGTACCTATACAAACAGGACTGCGCAAATCCAGGGCGACCTCAGCTTTCACTTGTTTTACCTTGAAGTCTATAAAAACAGGAAGTGAAGGCTGCAACAGATGTGTGTATATTTGCAAAATGGAAACAACCCTAAGTTTATTATAATCTAGGCAACACTTATTGAAAAAAAAAAAAGACTGGAAATCAACAAACAGTTAGAACATGACTGGACTCAAGTGCTGAGGGCACAGCCCAACACACCCATTCTCCAAACTTGGCACAAACAACGGTTCCAGGCGTTTAAAGAAGTCTGTCAGGTTGTGAAAAGACTAACCCAACAGTGACTTAAAAGCCAGTAAAAACTACTTTAAAAACTGAGGAAAGTCACTAGACAATCACCGACATCATCAATGAGGCTGAAGGTAGAGCTCAGAGGTAGAGCACTTGCCTGGAGTGGGAGCCTAGGTTCAAGCCTTAGTATTACAAACAAGCAGACACTCATCATTGATGAGTAAGAACATCATGCTTTTGTGAAAGGAAGAAAAGTGATTTTTAGGCTTGCCACATTTTGTTATCTAAACTGTGCACTTTTGACCAAAAACCAAAAATGGTTAATACATTCTAAGAAATAAGAAAGTTTGGCACCCACACAGGGAAAAAAAAAAAAAATCAACAGAAAAAATATCCAAACAAGCACAGAAACAGAGAAAACTAAAGACTTTATTTAAAACATCTATCTATATTTTACAAACATAAGAAAACCGTACCTATAAGAAACAACAGTTTCCCTGAAGAGACAATATCAATAGATGCAGACACTAAAAACAAGCAATACAGCCAATTAGAATTTCTGGAACTGAAAATGTTCTAATCAAAATGAGGTTTTGTTAGAGGGACTCAAAAGCATATCTAAAAAAGCCTACAAAGAATAAGTAAACTAAACGAAGTCATCTGAGATTATGCAGTTTGAGAACAAAAAAGAAAAATGAACATATCCGTAGAGACCTGTAGTATATCAAACATGCAAAACAGTATTTCAGAAGATGAGGAGACAAAAAGAATACCAGCAGAAACAAATAGCCCCAAGCTTTCCAACTTCACAGAAAACCATTAATCAGAAATAAGAAACTCATGAATTCTAAGTAGGATAGACTCAAGGCAAGTCTCATATGGATCCAGATAAATATGAAAACTGAAGACAGGAAGGAGGCTGGAGATGTATCTAAATTGGTAGAGTGACTATCTAGCATGCATGAAGTCTTGTGTTCTATCCTAAACACTGCATAAACCCAGAGTGGTTCATGCCTATAATCCCAGCAGCAGAAATAGGAGAATTCAAAGTTCATGACTTATCTTGGGTTACGTAAATAGTAAGTTAAAAAAAAAAAAGACTTCTCATGTCCAAATTCTCATTAAGATCCTCCTCAAAGGTAAGATAGCTCAGTGAGTAAAACTGCATGCCAACAATTGTAAAGACTTGAGTTTGATCCCTGTGGTGGTCTGAATAGGTATGGCCCCATAGACTCATGTGTTCGAGTGCTTGGTTCATAGGGAGTGGCACTATTAGGAGATATGGCCTTGCTGGAGTAAGTGTGGCCTTGTTAGATAACGTGTGTCACTGTGGAGGCAGGCTTTGAGGTCTCATATATGCTCAAGCTACACCCAGTGTGACATACAGTTGCTTCTGTTACCTGCAGATCAAGATGTAGACCTCTCAGCTCCTTCTCCAGCACCGTATCAGCCTGCACACCACCATACTTCCCACCATGATAATGGACTAAACCTCTGAACTGTAAGCCAGCCCCAATTAAATGTTTTCCTTTATAAGAGTTGCCATGGTCATGGTGTCTCTTCACAGTAATAAAACCCAAACTAAGACAATCCCCAAGTCCCACAAGGCAGAAAGACAGAACAGACTCCCACAAGTTGTTCTCTGACCTCTATACACATATCATGGCATGTAACACACACACATACTCATACATACATCTACACACCACAACACTGAATGAATAAATAAACAAGTAATGTGAAATAACAGAAATAGGAAATTTATTAAGTCAAATAAAAGGCTCCACAAAAACCCTTACCAACATAATGGAACAAGGGAAGGAAAGAATATCATGACTTGAACATAAGGTAGAAGAAATTGGAACACTCAGACAATTGAGAGAGTAAAAATAGATGATACAAACAGAACATTCAAGAATTATGGGATATTATGACAAGTCCAAATCATGATCATAGAAGAATAATTTCATGCCAAAAGCATAGAAAACATTTTTAACAAAACCATAACAGAAAATTTCACAAATCTAAATACAGATACTGATCCAGGTAGAAGGCATTTAGAACTAATTAGAATACTAAATGTATAGAACAAAGAAAGTATATTGAAAGCTGCAAGAGAAAAACATCAGTCACACAGAATGGCAGGCCCACTAGAAAACCAGCGTATTTTCCAAAAAGCTGGGAGGCTTGGAACAACATTATTTCTAAACTCTGAAAGACAACATGTACCAACAAACTCTACTACACACAGCTAAACGATATGTCCTATTTTAAGGAAAAAGACAAGCTTTCCACATAACAAACAAACAAAAAATAAAAGACTAACAGAACTTAAGACTAACCCAGCCCCAGAGAAGATATCTGAAGGAACCCTTTAGGCTAAAGAGAAAGACAGCATAGGCGCACTGCTACAGAAAAGAATAAGCCACCACAGAACAGTAGTGAAGTAAACAAGGAACAGGAAAACACCAAACACAAAATCAACAAAATGCCGAGACAGGTCTTCCAATAAAAACTGAATATAACGTTGTCAAGTCCTCAATCAAAAGACCAGAGACTAGTAGACTAGACTGAAAACCAAGATTCAAGCAGTAAAGATGCCAAGCTCAACAACCCATATGGTAGGAGATAACCAAGTTCTACAGGTTTTTTTCTGACCTCTACACACATGCTGTGGGACATATACATAAACACTAAATAAATAAATGTAATCTTAAAAGTAAAGAACCAGTCTAGTCATAAAGGCTCCATTTAGTGACCTTACAGCAATATAACTAGCATTCTGCATGGTGTAGGAAACTATCACCACAATCCACAGCCTAAATTCTATATGTGGGAAGCTGGAGTACAGCAGAACCCTGGCTTGACTCCCTACCACTCCTGTCCCTAAAGAAATCTCCTATCTATGGAATTAAAATAATAAGATTCTTTAAGCAATCTTAACCAAATGATAACACTAAAAATTGTAACATTTTAAGCCAGGCATGGTGGTGCATGCCTTTAATTCCAGCACAAAGGAGGCAAAGGCAGGCAGATCTCTGAGGCCAGCCTGATCTACAGAGAGAGTTCCAGGACAGCCAGGGATAAAGAGAAACCCTGTCTTGAGTAAAAAAAAAAATAGGTAGGTAGGTAGATAGATAATAAAAATTACAGCATTTTAAACCAAAATAAAATGTAAAACATATATAGCCACATGAGTAACTTTGAGGAATTTCCCCCAATTATCTTTTGCACATCTACTACACTTACAAATCTTAGTTTCCCTCACAGAGAAACTAACACAATGAGGAGAATTTTGGATAATTCCCAAACAATTACAATAACCATTTGTCCCCACCTGAAAACAAGTTATAGTAACTTAAGGTAATCAACTTTTGGTAGGGAGTCTTACATGTCTATCCTTCCGTTCTATAAGGTCTTGCCTTTGCTTGCATTTCTGAGATGCTTCCTTAATATCATTTGCCTGCAAGATTGAACCAGAAAGGAAAGGTTAATTAAAAACTCAGTTAAGCCAATTATATGGTCCCATCAATCCAAAAATTATGTGAATCAACCCACAACAAAACTTTCCCATATTTTAATTCAAATGAAGTTCATAAGTACCACATAAATTACTAATGGTATAGGAAATCTATAAAGGTTATTCCTATCAATACTAAAAAGTAGGTATAGTAATACACATGCATACATTTGTTTCTATATATTTGTTTTCCTGTGATATTTTGTCTGACTTTGAAAACAATTTGATGAGACAGGCGGACTAGACATTTTGTTTTACTATATGAAGAAAATAAGACCAGGCAATTATTAAATGACAGCATGAGCATTTACAATACAAATGTGTATGAATTCAGAGCCAATGGCATTTCTCTATCATTATAGTGCCTCTCTGGAATGTGGAGGGAAAAAGGAATGAAAGTGTTAGAAAAGTTTCTGCTGAAAAAGGAGAGGAATAATAATATGGTGAATACAATTAACTATTTATTCCTGCTACATGATTTAGAGGACTAATAATTTTAAAATATACATACATAGACTGATACAATGTGCCACTCCAGAAGCCACAGACACCTCTTCAGGAAAAGAATTCTAAAATATTATAGACCATGTACATTTCTACATAAACATGAGCTCATAGTTTTTGAGACTGCCTTAACAGCTGCTGCTTTTAGGAACAGAGAACCCAAATAAGTGTTACACAGGATTCCTTAATTTACTCTAGACATTGTTTTCCACTCCATAAAAATTTTTAAAAGTAATTCAGCAGTAACTTCAGGTGTCACAAAGCAACTATAAATCCATAATTTAATTATAACCAATTACTATTAACATAATTGCCAACTAGTGAGAAGACCTGTCAAAAATGAATCTACAATCTTTTGCTTTAAATTTTTGAATGATCTAGAGTAATGATCAATTACTTGAGTTATCTAATGTACAACAGAAGTACCTGAGTAGATGTCAATACTTTGACTTCAACTACATCAATTTAAATCTCCAAAATGGCATGCAAAATTCCAGATCTGCTTATATTGTATTATAGTAACCTCTCACACCCCACCATCCATGGTTTTGCATCATCAAATCTACCTGTAGTCAACTACAGCCCAAATACATGAAGTATGAAATTCCAGGAATAATCTATTTGTATGTTCCGTGTGTCATTTTGTAGCTGTGTACCATTCTAAACAGCATTATGAAGTCTCCAGCTGCCCTGCTACCCAGCCCTTAACATCAATCATACTGTGTGCAGCATGTCCATAAATCAGCTCACCATTCAGCAGCTCTCAGTTAGCAGGCTGACTGCTGAGGGACTGCACTGTTTTTATTCAAATAAGCCTTATTTGCTTAGTAATGGTCCCAACACAAAGTGGTCATGCTGGCAACTAGACATGGCAAGATAAGATATAATATGCTTCCTTCAGAAGAAAATGTCACCATTTATAACACATGTGTATGTACACATAGGAGAGAAAAAATACAGGTTGAACATCCCAAATCTGAAATGTGGAATCTATACTGCTTCAAAATTTAAAACTTTTTTGTTAAAAAGGTTCATATTTTGGATTTTCAAACCATGAATGATCATTTGGTAAAGTCTATGCAAACACTATAAATTCCAGAAACACTGAATAATAATTTTAAAATAATTTTGCCCTATACAAGGATATTCAAACTACATAGGTTTGGTGTTATTTTCAGTTTTAGGTATCCACTGAAATTCAGTGCCCCAGAGCCAGGAGGAAATATTCTACAAGCAGACATCTATTTTCAAAATAGCCTCCTGGGATGGCTTTTTGTTGTTGTTGTTGTTGTTGTTTTTGCCAACTTGACACAACCTAGAATTACCTGGAAAGAGGAACCTAAATTGAGAAAATGCCTCCACCTATATTGCCTGTAGACACAACTATAGGGCATTTTCTTGATTAATAACTGATGGAGGCAGGCTCAGCCCATCAAGGTCATACGCTGTGCCATCTCTGGGCAAGTGGTCCTGAGTTGTAAGAGAAAGCAGCCAGAGTAAGCCAGTAAGCAGCACTCCTTCATGGTTTCTGCTTGAGTTTGTCTCACCAGGTCCTGTCAACTTCCCTCAGTGACCGATGTAATGCCATGTGAAATAAACCGTCTCTGCCCCAAATTGCTTTTGGTCACAGTGTTTTACCACAATAGAAACTCTAAAACACCTTTGTGCTGTGGAATAATCCTTCTATACAGTGTGAGTATGTATTACTCTGATTGCTTTATTACTGAAGAGGCTGACTGGCCAATAGCTGAACAGGATAAGGTTAGGTGGAAGAGCCAAACTGAGAATGCTGGGAAGAAGGTGGAGTCAGAGGAGTTGCCAGGAGATGCAGAGGGAGCAAGACATGCTGCAGGACAGGTAAAGCCATGAGCCACGTGGCAATACATAGATTAATATAAATGGGTTCATTTAAGTTGTAAGAACTAGTTAGTAACAAGCCCGAGCTATTGCCCGAACTTTTGTAATGAATACAAACCTCAATGTGTTTAACTGGGAGCTGCTGGTGGGGCAGAAACTTCTGCTACATCTTTCATCCCTGAAAAGCTAAAATTCACCACCATAAACAATTTAACGTTCTAAAAGTTACATAATACATTCACAGATGGAGTTCAGTGTTTCTAAGAAATATGATGCATCAGTTTGTAACTAAAACAAAACACTTTTTCTCCTGAAGCTAGGTCTCATTCTGTAGCCCATGCTGGCTTCAAAGTCACAGTGATATTCTTGCCTCAGTGCCCCAAGTGCTAAGATACAGACCTGAGCCAATACACCCAGGAATGATCATCTTGGAGTTTCCTTAAAGTAACATTTATCTCCAGTCATAACAAGCTCTTTGAAAATCCTAAATTAATTCCTAAAGAACTTGAAGCTAAAAGTTGCAAGTGAACCCTAGAAAATACTTTCAGACATGAAAAGTATTTTTTCTATTTTAAATAAAATTCAGACAATCCAAAGCTGAGCAAAAGCACCTTTTCTTTTATTCGAGTTTCCAAAGTACGACGCTGTCTTTCAATCTCCTCAATTCGACGTGTCATAGGAATTTGCCCTTCTTTAAGTTTTCTGACTTCTTCTTTCACTCGGTCACGAATTAGTTTCACACCTTCATATTCCTGACGTACATTCTCATATTCCTTGCAAATAATTCAAGAAACAGAAATCAATACATTAAGTGTTTTAAATTAACGCATACTAAAGCCAAAGTGTAAGTAGAGACTTTCTTTTAATTTATTAATAAAGATTAAGGAGTAAATAAACAAACAAAACACTCTCAATTTTGAAAGGTGAAAAATGGGTCAAAAAAAAAAAACCCCAAAAGAAATATGTAGTTACCATCTTGACAAAAACAATGTCTGGGCAAAAGCAATGGCTTAGCAGTCTGCTATTGAGCCTGCTGATTTGACATGAGTTAAATTCCTGGGACCCACATGGTGAAAGGAGATAAGGACCTCCTACAAAAGAGATGTCATGCCACAGAAATCAGCTAAACATTTGCTGAATAACAAGAAAAGAGAATGCTAAAATAGATACTATAATAAGAGTGAATGGGGGTTGGGAAGGCTGGAGAGATGGCTAAGCAGTTAGTGCTTTCTGCTCAGAAGACCCAGTGCATACACGAGGCAGTTCAAATCTACCTACCACTCCAGTTCTAAAGGATCAAATGTTTTCTGGCTTCCTCAGGTATAGCACTTACGTGCAAACCCTTTCCCCCAATTAAAAGTGAAAAATCTTTTGAAAAAGTGAATGACATAAAGCAAAGGGGGGAAAAAAACTACAAATTTTAAATTAAAAAAATTAAAATCAATATCTTAAAGAAGGAACCAGGGGTGGGCAGTGGTAGTGCACACCTTTAAGCCTAGCACTTGGGAGGCAGAGCCAGGCAGATCTCTGAGTTTGAGGCCAGCCTGGTCTGCAGAGCGAGATCCAGGACAGGCACCAAAGCTACAGAGAGAAACCTTGTCTCAAAAAACAAAAACAAACAAACAAAAAAGGAACCAAAAGACTTCAAAAGGTAGAGTGAAAGAATAATAATTAACAGGAAAAAATGCAATAAAAAGGTACAGAAAGGAAAAAGTTTAGGAATAATGGAACTGCAAAACCTGGTTGGAAATAAGAGTGCCAAAAATATACAGCCATACATTATTTTCACACTAATAATTATTTCAACTGAAAACATGGAACAAACCCAAGGAAAATTAATTTTTCTATCCATTAAGTAATGTTATCAAGGGAATTCACTATTTTAAACTTGTCATGGGTAATATATCTGCATCATATTATAAACAGAAAAAATAAAGCAGAGTCAGGGAAATTATGACGTGTGAGAAGACAAGATACTTTAGTTACACGTGGCCTAGCTCAACTAAATTCTGAATGAGCTTACTGGGACATGGACACTCACTGGCACTGAGGATGGCTCACAGGACATCAAGCAAACTAGGTAAGCACTGTGGTACTCAACGACGGCTCTTGCTCCCCAAATTTAACTTTTAATATGAATAAACACTTTAGATCATTTTAAATTAAGGGAAAAAAAGCAAAGACCTGTTAAGGACTAAAACCTGAAATTAACATCAGTGACTCAATCAACTATCTGCTATGTGGTAATTAGTATCTATCAAATAAAGAACTAGAAAAAGACTTAGGTATAACATGTAAAATAAAACTTTAAAAGTAGTAGCTAACTTGAATACAAAATGAGTGCCTACTTACAAAGATGTACTTTAGAAGTACTAAGACACTGCATTCACTAGTTTTCTTTTGTTTTTTGTCAACTTCATACAAGCTAGTGTCATCTGAGAAGGAACCTTAATTGAAAAACTGCCTCCATCAGACTGGCCTACGGTTTTTTAAACTATAATTGCTGTGATAGGAGGGCCCAGCCCACTGTGGGTGGTGCCATCCCCAGGACAGGTAGCTCTGGGGATATAAGAAAGCAGGCTGAGCAAGACATGGGGAACAAGCCAGTAAGCAGCATTCCTCCATGGTCTATGATTCCATTCCTGTCTTTAGGTCCTGCTTAGTGTTCTTGCCCAGACATCCCTTCAAAATAGACCATGATTATAAGCTGAAATAAATCCATCCCCAAGTTCCTTTTGGTCATAGTGTTAATCACAGCACTAGAAAGCAACAACCTATGACAGTTGAGGAGTCACCTATTTTTTTTTTTTTTAAATCTCAGATAATTAACACTTACCACCCATGGTCTTTTTGCTTCAAGCATCTCAATTAAATCTAAATGTCGCTTTCGTTCATAGTATCTTTCCACATCTTGTTTGTATCTTTCATTTCTCTGAACCATTTTCTCTAGGTATTCAGTCTTCTCTTTGCAAGAAGTCTAAAATAAGTATTTGTTGACAGTTAGTTTAAATGAAAAACAAAAACAGAACAACATGGCAAGTCAAATTTTTTAACAATGATATAATCAAAATTTCACAAAAAGAATCCTGTAATAGTGAGGTTAGGAAGAATGCTTGCCTAGAAGGCATGTAGTTCTGGATCTTATCTCTAGCATTGCTCAAAACCAGCCTAGTGACACACACCTGTAACCCCAGTGCTGAGGAGGTAGAGGCAAGAACATCAGATGTTCAAGGTCGTTCTCAACTACACAGAGTTAAAGACCGGCCTAGGCTACAGAAGATCTTGTCTGAAAACAACAGAAAAAGCCAGGCGGTGGTGGTGCATGCCTTTAATCCCAGCATTTGGGAAGCAGAGCCAGGCGGATCTTTGTGAGTTCGAGGCCAGCCTGGTCTACAGAGCGAGATCCAGGAAAGGCGCAAAGCTACACAGAGAAACCCTGTCTTTAAAAACCAAAAAAAAACCACCAAAAAACAAAAAAACAAACAAACCAGAAAAAAAAAATCAGGTGAAAGTAAGACTCATGAAGAAACATTCTGGTTCAAGGCTCTAAAATACATTAGTCATGTAACTGTGAGGAAGCCCTGTCAACATCGCTAAGCCCAGGGCTTTGCCTAAAGATAAAAGAAGCAATTCACTCAATACAGGTTAAGTGTCCTTTATTTGAAAAGTATAATTCTGAAGCTCCAAAATGTTCCTAAACTGAAGCTTTGTAGACCCACATATGACATTCATAATTTGGAGTTTGAAGCATTTTAGATTTTAGTCCAATCTGCCCAAATGAAAGCTTAATAAAAGCTGTAAAAAAGGGCATGTAAATGCAAAGTAATATTAGGATTAGTATTCATGAATGCTTAGGAATTAAGGACTTTGAGATGACATAAAGCTAAAATTAAATCTTTCTACTGCATATTAACAAGCACAAAGATGCACTGAAAAGCCTAGGGGAAAAAGTACATCCTTGTTTCTTTCAGTGGGTGGGAGGTAATTTAGAAATGTATTTCAGGTGGAAGTAGTAGATTGATGCAAAATAAGACAAAAGAATTGAAGGAGTACCAGACACAGAACTGAATAATCACAAAATCTTGGACCAATTCCTTTTGAATTCAGACAACAAAATTAATGCTTTATTACAATAAAATATTTATCAAGGATAGGTAGTTATACTTACAAAGAAGGTATATTTTGTTTTCTTAATTATAAAAATATACTGCCTTAAGATCTAAGGATCTAGAACTAGATCCATTAACTCAACCATCTTTAAAAATGATAGGTAGTACTTATTAAAGGTAAAAATGAAAAATTAACTCTTCAGCTAATATTCTACACACTTCAGCTAATTCTTTAATTTTGCTTATAAAGTCTATCTTCATTTGACTTAAGAAAAAAAAAAATATCCCAAATGACATCAACAGAAGTGTTTTTAAACACCACCTCCTTATCTTCTGTAATGCTCAAAACCTGACACAGTGCCTGACACAGGACAGGTACTTAATGGGTACCAAATGAGAGAAAAATGTACCTTTGTATGAGAAAGTTCCTTAAAAACTCAACTGATAACATGTATTTACTGAAACAGTCAACTATTTCAAATTTCATAAAATCAAAATCACTCTCATTTTCTACGATCAGCTGAAGAAAGAAATATAAGCTTGGGTGAAAAAACTCAACCACAGCTATGAACTTACTAAACATATAGAAATACTACCCCTTCTTGCACATTTTGGGACACAGAATCAGTAAATGACAACAGAGATGAGTTGTCTACTTCTAAATACCTCTAGCTGCTTCTCCTTCTCTCTGAAGTTTTTGAGTTCGCAGTGGTATCTGTGCATCTCTGGAGGGCCAATTGACTTCTCAGTAGCTTCAAGTAGTTCAATTTTGCTGAGTTTAGCAAATTCCCCTACTTTGTCCTACAGCACCAAAATGAAGTATCAGCAACTATCATCCATAAACACCTTTAAAATGTATTAAATTTACCAAGATGGGGCTCATTTAAAAACAAATCTTGAGATGTGAATCTTCTTATAATCTTTTAGGTACTTACTGTCTTTCAAAAATGATAGCATGTTTTTTATAATCTTTAAAAACTGTCTTTGTCACTCTTCCCGGGTAGAAATGTTTATACAAATAAGCAAGTTGGAAATAGAAGGAAACAGTCTTCCAGACTGAAATGATCACTAACACCTACAGAACGGGGAACAATTTAAAATATCTTTTTCTGGAGATAGTTTAACATGAACAGATAAATAGAAAACTTTCAAATTTTAAGTCTGCATTTAAACTGGACTTACTGAATCAAATCATCATTACGTTTGTGAAGAAAATAAGCTATAGTTTAGTCACTAAGTAACATTAAAATAAAAGATATCTGACTATAACTTTAAATGTAGATTAACAGAACTTCTAAAAAGGTCTTAAAAAATTTCTTTTATATCATCTATATATGTGTGTGTATCTATGTGTGGGTTTGTACATGTGAGTGCAATGTCCTAGGAGTCAAGGTGGTGGCATCAGATCCACTAGAGTTGGAGTTACAGGCAGCTGTAAACTGCCATATGTGGGTGCTGGGAACCAAATTTGGGTCCTGTGAAAGACCAGCATATTTTATTATTAATGAACAAAAAATATTACTAGACTTTAGAAAGTACACCTACATATGAAAGAATTTTATCCTAACCAATATTTCATACAAATGTATTAAAAGTTGTTCATTAAGCTGAGCATGGTGGCACATGCCTTTAATCCCAAGACTCAAGAGGCAGAGGTAAGCAGATCTCTGAGTTCAAGGCCAGTTAGAGCAAGTTCCAGGACAGTGAGGGCTACAGGGAAATCCTATCTTGAAAAACAAAACAAAAAGTTGTTCATTAACTGTGGCTTCTCAGGATCACCACACTTAATGCATGGCAGCCACAAACCAATTAATATATATATTTTAAATTATTTATTTTTATTTTATGTGCATTGGTGTTTTGCCTGAACTATGTCTATGTGAGGGTGTCAGATCCTGGAGTTATTGACAATTGTTAGCTGCCATGTGGGTGGTGGGAACTGAACTCAGGTCTTCTGGAAGAGCAGTCAGTGCTCTTAACCTCTGAGTCATCTCTCCAACCTCAAGCCAGTTAACATTCTAACTGGAAGTAGTTCATGAATCCCAACCCCTAATTGAGGAGCTATGAACAGTTAAGTTGCTGGCTTCTGGGAGAGGGATAATTAGTTTTCTTTATGGGTGTGGCTCCTGGTACATTAACCAGTGCATGGCTCAAATCAAGGAGTATATGAGCAGCATAATTGGAGTCCATGGGTTATTACAAAAAAATTTAAAATGACACAAAATTGGGAGTAGATAGGGAGGTGGAGGTAGGTGGGTCTTGAAAGAGTTAAGGGGAGTAAATAGAGGGAAACTATGATCAAAATACATTGTATGAAGTTTCAAAGACTTATAAAAATATTTTTAAGAAATTGTTCCTTGAAAAATGTCAAATTTGCAAATGAAGTACTGTATCTACTCTGTATTTGAAGTACCTTTTTTATGGGCTGGGGAGATGGCTCAATGGATAAAGTACTTTCAAGTGTCGGGATAGGAGTTTGGATCTCTAGTACCCAGCATAGCAACCTGCCTGTAATCCTACTGTTATGGCAAAGACATGGAATCTTCTAGTCAAACTGGTGAGCTCCTGGTTCTGACCATGTCTTAGTAAGTAAGTAGAGAGTGAGTGAGGAAAGCATATAATGTCAATTTCTGCCTCTAAACTACGTGCACACGTTTACTCAAATACTAATGCACACCATATAGATACATATGAAAAAACAAAACCAAATATAGTTTTAAAACATTTTGTAACTTAAAATTATTAAATGATTAACAATATATGGATGACTGAGGTTCACTTGGCCTGGAGCATTACAATTACAGATATGTTTCACCATGCCCATAAAAACAGTAAGTACTAAGAATGCTGTGTTCAATGTAATAAGTAATATTTGCATACTTAATTGAAATTAATAACATTAAGTGATAGATTGCTTTATTTTACAAAGAACTATAAATGTTAAGAGTGCTGTGTTTGATACAAATACTATTGCAATATCTCTTGAATAATATTTATGTTTTCTGTGGAATAAAGCCAAAACATTCACCCAAAATTTCCCCCATATTCATTTGTATTTTCTCAGACCTGAGGCAGGAACTGGCATAGATTGCCCACTTGGATGTTTAAGGCTGCAACTTGTTCTTCCACTATTTTCTGGGTTACAGGTTTTTTGTTGATGAACCAAAAGGACTGATTTTTTATCACATCAATCTCACGGGTGATTACAAGATTTCCCGAAATCCGGAACCTAATTAAAGAATAATTGAAGAGCTTTTATATTCAAAACGCACACTGATTTAAGAATAACATATCTATCATTTTTCTTATACCCAAGGTCTAAGAAATATTACTATAATTTTTATTCTTTCTGGTATTTTTGGATCCCTCCCAAGTTAGAAACCTTGACTTTTTGTTTGTAATTATCCCACATTTGGCCATGTCAGTTACTATTTAGTTAACAGTCAAAATTATCTGAATTCTTGAAATTAAAACGAGTGCCAATACTAATCCCAAACACAATAAGTTTCTTAACCCTTTAACGATTACACTATTCTTCAGTCACATACATTGACTGCAATTCAAAATGGTTTAGTACATTAAAGGCTAATATAACGTAACAGTCAGCTGAAACTTCCTCTACTTGGAAAATACATGAATGAAAACTGACTTCTACATAATAAGAATTTCTGTAATCATGGACTGCCCACCACGTTCTTTATTCTGAATCCAGAGAGAACTATACTATATGCCTAGAAAGGACCATTAAGTAATACAGAATTGGAAATAGGGTATTTACCCCTGTCTTGCTTTCACAAGTACTTGTTCCATCCCGCCCATCTGTTCACTCATCTTCTTCACAAGGGGATGAAAGTAAAGCTTTAAGTACATCAGGGAAGCTCTCTACCACTATGCTATACTCCAGCCCAAGTAGTTCAAAACTGGCAAAAAGCCTTAAATTTGTTAAAAAGTACAATTTCTCTCTCCCTCTCTCTGGTGTGTGTGTTTGTCTGTTTGAGACAGGGTCACAAGTAGTCCAGGCTGGACTTGAACTTGTTATGTAGTGGAGAATGACCTTGAATAGGAGAATTTCCTGAATAGCATGCAACTCCTTACTCTCCTGCCTCTACTTCCTAAAGTGCTAAAATTATGAAGTATACTATCAGACCCGACTACAACTTCTTAGCACATATTTATCAGTCTTATACTTTTGTCTCATTACCCCATCATTAAACTACAATTTTTAAAGAACTTTCCAAAATAATATTTTTAAATTTTTTTAAAAAGACACATTAAAAAGTATTCACTTGCTTTATGTATTCTTTAAATATCATTTTCCATATTTGCCACAATATTACATTTATATTCTTTTCCAATGTCATCAAGAAGTATAAACAAAAGCTGAAAACTTATAGAAGCTTTTACACTTACAGTTCAATTTCAACCACACCTTTGGAACATCCTCTCTTCACAAAAAACCCAACCTAGAGTGTAAAAAAAGTGTAAGTGAGCTGCCGCAATAGTATTTCCAGGCTAACAATCAGAGGTCTAGAAAAGTCATTACTGTTTACCAAACCAAGATTTTTTTTTCAGGAACTGCATGAATATCCATCCTCACCACTTTCTAAAAGGTACAGGCCAGGTCCCTCCACTTCCCTTGCACTACAGAAATCACAGTAGTTAAATTATGGATCACTTCAGTGCCAGGTAGTTCAGACTCTTCAAAGCTGGTAACAAGGTGGTAAATGGAAGGGATGCAAATCCAGGTAACTGGGCTCCAGAGTCTATGTACTATGTACTCTCAGAGGAGGGGAAACCCCAGAGAGAACCAATTCAATGCGACAACCACAAAGCACTATACCAAACCTACTACTGTTGCAGATCCCACAGAGGTGCACAGATTAAACATCAACAACCTCTCTAACAGTGCCTATCCTGTTTTTAAGACAGACCTGCCGCCAAGTTCCTTTAAAAAATAATTAATAGATATAGTTTACATAGTAAAACAGACATCTGAACTAGTTCTGATGACTATGAGCTTAAACACAACACAGACTAGAGGACTAAAACATCAAATTGGATCTTAAGTTTAAGCTCTATAAATAATAAATACTAAAATGATAGACATGCTGTGGTTCTCCCCTTTAGCACTTAGTACAAAGAACCAGGAATATCAGAAATTCAAGGTCACCCTCAACTACATACTAGTACTAGCCACCCATTGCTATATGAGAACCTGTCTCAAAATACAAAACAAGTGGGGAGGAAATGAATAGGATCAAAATATGTTGCATGATATTATTAAAGAATAAATAAAAACATTAAAAAAACAAAAAGGAAAAGTAGCAACAATATAAAATAAGGTGGGTACATCAAAATTTTTATTTTGAAATACTATAAAATATACAGAGATAAATTTAAGAAAATCACCAATAGCAAAAAATTTAATCAGAATGTACTGATCAGCAAAACGTTACATAATATATAAATAATGAACAAGGGCTGGAGAGTTAAGAGCACTTGCTGCTCTACCAGAAGACCTGGGTTCTGTTTCCAGTAACCATGCTGTGTGGTTCACAACCATCTGTAAATCCAGCTCTGAGGGATCTGAGACCCTCCTGTGGCCTCTATAGATACACACACACACACACACACACACACACACACACACACACACACACACACACTTTAAAAACACAAAACAAAAAAAGAAACAAGGCCTTACAATATTTTTTTTAATGATTTGTGGTAATGACTGTAAACAAACTACCATTTATTATATGCTGCTAAGATAAACAACTGACAAGTTTCCAAATTCAGTTGGCAACGCTGAAGAATATACTATACCCATTTTATAGATGGTAAAATTAAGGATCAGAAAGATGGGGGTGGCACAGCATCTGTTCTAACCTGAGAATACTATCTTTAATTTCTACTATAGGTTCAAATCACAACTCTGTCATGCAGAAGTTTGGCCTTGGCTGGAGAGGTAACTTCACACTGTCTACTCATTGACAGAAAACCATGACATCTCTGAGGGAGCTAACTGTTTACTGGCACATTTAAAATATTTGGTACTAATGAGGGGAAAAAATAGAAGTAGTTCATACTTATTATAAAGTATCTATACAGATGATTTAGATTTTGCTTATAGTACAATTTTATACTAACATTTATATATAGAAATATAATAAAGTATTCTTGCTGAGAACTTGGAGCTCACTTAAATATGTAGCTTCAGAAGGCCAACAGTCCATATTTAGGAACCATTGCACTCCAGGGTCTCCCTTAAAAACCCTCCCACTCAAAGAAGAGATGTGGTTTCTTTAAAATAAAACCCACAAGGCTGGTAAAAACTGATACAGCACAACTCATTCTAATTGTGCAGACTGAGAATACAACCCAGTGCAGGGGGAATGAATTCATGACTTAAAGTATATAGCAAGAGTCATAAAAACCTGAGCTGGTCCTTGCAAATTAACTGCTTCAACCACCCTATCTTTGAAATGAAAGTTTGATGTCCAGACCATTGCCCAAGCTCACTAGGCTGATTTATTAACAGAGCAAAGTATCTTTTCTAGCTCACAAATGCCTCTGGTATAGCTTTTTTTTTTTTAATGCATTTTGAATACATTTATCTATAGCGTATTAAAAAAGGGGTATTTGGTTCAATTTTTTTAAGTACAGTTAAAATTTGCTAATATCACTTGACTAATGCTGCAATTTTCTCAGTATTTCATTTTAAGCTTTAACAAAATATTGGGGTTTTTTTGCTACTATATTTATTTGCAGCGAGAGTGCATGACATGTCCCATGTATGTGTCAGTTTTCTCCTCCCAATTTGTGAGTTTCAGGGACGGAACTCAGGTTGTCAGTTTGGTAGCAAGTGCTTTTACCCACTGAACTATCTCATTTGCCCACAAACTTTTCTTTTAAAATATAACTTTATAATTTTTGTATTTAATTCTTTCATCTTGGTTAATTTATTCCTAAGTAACTTATACTTTGCATTGTTATTATGAACAACATCTGGGCCTAGAGAGATGACTCAGTGGTTAAGAGCACTGAGTGCTATTGCAGATGGCCTAAGCTTGGTTCCCAGCACACACAAGGATGGCTCACAACTTCCTGTAACTCCAGTTCCAGGGGATAAGACACCCTCTTCCATCCTACACAGACATGCATGCACACGCCCGAAAACACCCCCCCCCCCCCCACACACACACATGCTCTCTCTCTCAAAGACAAAAAGCAATATTTCACTGCTCACTGTTGATGTCCAGAAACTCAACTAAGTTCTATCTAACCCGGTATCCAACAATCCTGAGAAATTTCCCTATTAAGGCACAAGGCTTCTCTGGAAATTCTTCTTGGTGAAAAAAATCTCTGTGTCTTCTACACACACCATTCTACACAGAGCTTCTAGAGCAGTACTAATAACCTCTGGGACTATTAATACAGCTCCAGAAGTTCTAGGGAGAAAGAAAGCTCATTTGGTACACTTAAGAATCTAAAATGTAGGAAGTGACTTGTTTCTAAGAACAAATGGTTCTGAATTTTTTAAAAATTATGTTAACTTACCTTATCTGCACGTCCCATGAACGCGGGTTTGCCTGCCAGTCCAAGGCAAATGGCACACACTATGCTTGACTTCCCCGTTCCATTAGCTCCAATAATCATATTCAGATGGGGCCCAGGAGACACTTCACAGATATCATATGTTCTGAATTGTAAAGAGGTAAAATCATTAAACCGAAATTACAGAAAAACCTTTTCTTTATAAATGCATTTTTTTTGTTGCTTTGCATTACCACTGCTCACAACCCTTGTAAAACTCATTTAAAAGCTAGCTAACCTTATGAATGTAATATTATTCATATATTTGGGAGGATGAGGTACTAAGGATTCAACCCAGGAGGGCCTTTTACATGCTTGGTAGTAAGTAAGTGCTTTATCATTTAGCTATATTGCTGTGGAATATCATTTTGTATGCTGTGAATGTATGTTGCTCTGACTGGCTGATAAATAAAGCTGGCCAATGTAAGGTAGAACAAGGTTAGACAGGACATTCCAACTAGAGAGAGAAAGGAGAAAGGCAGAGTTGAGGAGACGCTGCTAGCTGGTGCCAGAAGAAACAAGATGTAAAGTACCGGTAAGCCACAAGCCACGTGGTAAAGTACAGATTTATAGAAATGGGTTAATTTAAAATATAAGAGCTAGCTAGCGAGAAGCCTGAGCCATTTGGCCATATAGTTTAAAATAATATAAGCCTCTGTGTGTTTATTTGGGTCTGAGCGGCTGCAGGGTCGGGCAGGACACAGGAAAACTTCAGCTATACTACAGCCTTAGCCCTTTAAGTTGTAAATAATCAACTTATAAAGGGAAAATTCTGCCAGTGGAAAAAATAATAATGCATATATAAAATAAGAACACAAGGCTGAGCATGGTGGCACATGTCTTTAATTCTAGCATTCAGGAGGCAGGGGTAGGCAGATATCTGTGAGTTTGAGGCCAGTTAGGGTTATATAATAAGATCCTGTCATTAAACAAACAAACAAAATACCCAAGTTTGAAACAATTTATCCTCTTTTGGGAGACTATATGAAAGCTATCTCACAAGTAAAATAATTTCAAAACAAATTTATACAAGAAGCCATAGCTTTTTTTCCTAATGTCTTAAAATTACATTAAAAAAATTAAAATAGTAGCTACTATATTTTCTATTTTATACTATATTATATATATATATTTATATTTTAATATTCAAGCAATCTAACAGTTATTCTTATTCAAATGATAAAATATGATCTATTATCAAATCAATAGCTTCATTTTATCATCGATTAAAGAAAAGGCCCTTCAATTCCTTGAATACGCTGCAAGAAGATTCTAAGAATCCACAACAGGCTATGTTCCAACAATCCTTGTTCCTCTGGGAGAAGGTAAGGAGGCATAACCAGAGATACGTAACTCTCATACACACACCATGCTGTTCAGTATTCTCTGACTCCCTGAACAGTTAGTTAGTCCATAGTTAAATGAATTAAACATACTTATATACTGCTTCTAAATCTGCTGCCTCTATGAGTTCCTAATTTAAGTGATTTTCTCCTACATATCTTTAAAGATTTATTTTATTATTTATTTTTAATCTGTGTTTAATCCTCATTATTTGTTGGGGACAGCTTTAGCGAGATATGAAGCAAATTATGACTTAGACATTCCCCTAGCTTGCCTTTCAAAATTCTTTTTTTTTTTTTTTTGGTTTTTCGAGACAGGGTTTCTCTGTGTAGCTTTGCGCCTGTCCTGGAACTCACTTGGTAGCCCAGGCTGGCCTCGAACTCACAGAGATCCGCCTGGCTCTGCCTCCCGAGTGCTGGGATTAAAGGCGTGCACCACCACCGCCCGGCTGCCTTTCAAAATTCTTAATTGGAATCCATAAGCAATATTTCTTCTCTAGGTCTTTAGTGCTTAGGCTCAGGTACACCTAATTAATTTTCCAAGATAAATGCGAGAGTGCTACTAACATGCTAAATATATAAATAATTAAACACCATACACCAACAATTACATGGATACACATGAAATCTAGTATCACTTTTTAAAAAAAAAGAAAGAAAAGGGGCTGGTCTGAAGAGATGGTTCCACTGTTATGAGAGCTCATCATCCTCTTCCAGAGACCACAAATTTGGTTCCCAGCATCAATACAGGACAGCTCACAACCACCTGTAACTTGAGCTCCAAGGAGTATGATGCCCTCTTCTGGCCTACAAAGGTACCCACACACTGTGGCATATACAAAGACAGACAGACAGACACACACACACACAACCTTAAAAGAGGGGGAAGAGAATCTTTTGTAACTTAGGCCTAATTTCAGCTTTTTACTATTTCCCTTTTCTATTTCTGCTCAGAATTCTACTATATATTTCTTTCAGTTTCTTGACTAATTTGTGTAATAGTCTAGATTCTCTCTCTCTCTACTCAAGTCCACTAGACTTAGTTCATTCATAGCGAACTCATGTACTATTTCTAGGCCATGTGAATCCTCTAAACCTAGCCTCTCTACTTGCTTGTTACTTACCTCCTCTCAGCCTCACTCTGTGATGGCCGTTCTTGGTTGTCAACTGGACTACATCTGGAATTAACTAAAACCCAAGCAGCTGGGTACACCTGTGAGGGTTTTTTTCCTCAATTAAATCATTTGAAGTGTGAAGACCCACTTTAATCCGGATCATTCAAGGTGCGAAGATCCACCTTTAATCCAGCCCCACTTTCTACTTGGCAGCCCTTTATAAAGGACATGAAGAGAGAAGCTTGCTGTCTTTGCCTGCTTGCTCTCTCTCGCTCTCACTGGCAACTCCATTCCTTCACTAGCATCAGAACCTACTTCTTTGGGATTCTGGCATATACTGAACATAAGCTGAGACATCCAGCCTCATGGACTGAACAACTACTGGATTCTTGGACCTTCTACTGGTAGAGAGCCATTGCTGGACTAGCTGGACCAAAGCTTGTAAGCCATTCTAATAAATGCCCTTTCTATATATGCATGGAAATTCATCCTGAAAGTTTCGTTCTTCTAGAAAATCCTAATATACTCTCCAAATCTAAAGTCATCTTTTTTAAAACAAACAGAACCATATCCAACTCTTCATTTTTCAACTACTTTTTCTTTTTGCTGTTTTTGTCCAAGTTTTTCCTCCTCATTCTTCCTGGTCTACAAAGTTTTCTTTCGTACCGCTTTATCAAAGGGGCAACATTTTCCCAACTGCTAAATGTAGGAGGCTTCAGTCTCATTACGATTTAATGGAGCGGATATTTTTGAAGTAGTACTTTACCTTAGCTTCCCTGACAAGAGTCTCCCATGAGTCTCAGGATATCTAAGTTCATCCTCTCACTTTTAATAAACAGGCTTTTTATTCCTCCCATTTGTATTTCCTTTTGCTTAATTTCAACAACTTCAGCAACATCAACAATCACCTTCACATATGACTCCCAAGTCTGTGACTTACATTGCCTCTGAGCTCCAGGTCTTTATAAATTCCACCTATAGAATGTTTCTCTTAGATATCCCACAAGAAAGTTCAAGACACAGGCACTCAACTGCTTTCATTGTTTATTTTCCCACACTACTCTCTCCTGGGCAACACCGGCCCAGCTAGCTGAAATGGAGACTCGGGAAGAACTTATGCACAGCTCTATTCTCATGCCTCAAATCTGTGGGCAGGTTTTGTTAAATCTCTTCTTTCGGGTCCTCCTATGTTCACCCTGTAGTTCTTGCTTTCTTATTTTAAGTCTTCTAGCTTTCTGCCTGGCACCCTCTCAAAATCATCCTGCAGACGACTGCCTCCAGGTTGCCGACTGCCTGCAGGATGAAGCTGGAGTTTCTCAGCATAGTGACAGACAAGAGGAGACAATGGTTTCTGACCTTTAGCCACACATGTCCTTACATCCTAGGTTAAGTCACTCACTAAACTTAGAAACTGGCTTTCAGGTAGTTCCTTCTTTGTGCGACCATCTTCCCTCCTTTTCAGATTTTAATATTTCCTTCACAAAGCTCGTAGAGTTGTGCATGAAATTAAATTAGCCTTTTTAGTCGTTATGCCTCGCATGAGACCATAAGTAGGTAAGTTATAGCAGATACCTCATTTGAGTATGTTTACCTTTCCTGATCTAGCTTCAAATACAAATTCAGCCATTAAGATCTCTATAAACTTGGGCCGGGCGGTGGTGGCGCACGCCTTTAATCCCAGCACTCGGGAGGCAGAGCCAGGTGGATCTCTGTGAGTTCGAGGCCAGCCTGGTCTCCAAAGTGAGTTCCAGGAAAGGCGCAAAGCTACACAGAGAAACCCTGTCTCGAAAAACCAAAAAAAAAAAAAAAAAAAAAAAAAAAAAAAAAAGATCTCTATAAACTTGGGCAAAAACAACAGCTTTCAGCTCATATCATCAATAAAGAACAAACAGCCATGTGTAAATAAAACAGATGTGTACCTGGTACATAAGTGCTTGAAAAAAAAATGGCAGTTTTGTTACTAGAGTTCTGTAACTCTTACTCAAATCTACATTTTAAAAAATACCTCAAAAGAAAAACTCCAGTATGACGCTAAACAGATAATATTATTTTTGGTAACATTTAGACCCTACTTAGCTAGTTGAGGTGGGGGCAGGGAAGAAAGAAGGATCTGAATAGTCAAGAGTCTGCAAAGAGGTACAAAAACTGGGAACACGATTTAATTTTTCTGTACACGCTCACCTCCAATCAACAACCATTAGCATCTCATCTGCCCACTCGGAAAATGTGTACATTTTGAAAACCTGCCACTCCCCTCTAACTGTTGCCTCCCGAGTTTTGTGACGTGCACAAGTCCTCGGGAAATCACGACGGGCGGCTATTCTAGAAGACCTGGCCCCTTCGTCTATCTGCTGACTGCATCCGACGCCTTCCAAAACCATTGGCGGGTGGGTAAGAAAACATCAGGCGACCCGTCTACTCCAGCCAACACGGCCGGTGTCCACGGCCTAGGCAGGGACAACCTCAGGGGAAGCCTGGCAGGAGCTCCCCACCACCGGGCACACCCCCACGGCCACGGGGCCTGTGGGCCGCTTGCTCCCGCCCAGGCGCGGCCTGCGGCCACTCACAAGAAGTTCTCCATGGCGATGCGGACGATTGAGCCCTCCACGAAGGACCCGGATGGCCGCGGCAGAGTCGACGTCGGGTTCGAGTTCTTCCTCTTGCTCGGCACCTCGGAAGAAGCATCTCTGGGGAAAGCCCTCTTGGAAGCCTGAGGGTTCGGGGTCGCAGCCCTCCCGCTCGGAGTCGCCATCCTGGCTTCCTCCGCGTTCCGCAGCGGCTTCCGTTCCCGGCGAGCTGCAGACCAGGCTCCCGCGCTAACTGACCCCCGTCTGACCCCGCCCCGTGGCCGCGCGGCGCCTGCGCAGTTCTGCCCGGCGAAGCCAAGGCCCCGCCCCGCCTCGCCCCGCCCCGGCGGCCGCCGCGGATCCTAGCCCCAGAGGCCGGAGATGCTGACTGTTGATGCGACTCCAAGGGGCTGAGACTCGAGGTCCGATTTCCCTGCGGGATTTTCTTCTCGGAGAATTTTAACTTGGAGCAATATGTGAATTGCATTTACTATTTCGAAACCTGCCTCGGCACTTCCCGTGCTCGGGTCGAAAGCGAGTTTGCGACTGTCCCTCCCTGGAACTCCGGCCCACACCTGTATTTGGTTCTACGTTGTGATTTCCTTCTCCGGTGTCCAAATCAACTCCCTTTCTCCAAAGAACATAAAAGAGACCCGCCGCCATTGGCTCTGTGCCTGTTGTTTGAAGCATGGCGCCAGCAGCCCTCTGGCGCTCTCAAAATTGTGAAGCCTGCACTGCATTGGTTACCCGCCCACGCACACTTGCTTGCCCTTTTTCATTTTTTGAGACATACTCTCTATAGTTCTGCATGGCCTCCTGCTGGTCTTGAACTCCATCTGCTTCTTCTCCCTTGGTGCTGGGGTTCCAGTGCAGGCCACCAGATGGCCTCTTCTTGCGAGGTTCCTTAAATCCCTGCTTCAACTCCCTGGTGGTTCCTAGAAATCCTGGAACCAGAATAAGCAAGCTTCTTTAGGAGTGACTCTGGCTCACTGTACTCACATTCATCTCAATAGCCCTTTCAGAGATGATGCCACTGAGCTCCATAGACGCCATTCACCTAACCAATAATGAGTACGTATAAACAGCCAGAGAATAGATAATGGGGAGTGCAGGCGACGGGGAACCATAGAATGGTTTTAAGTAGGAGAGGGCTGTGATCTAATTAAAGTTTTTCAGTCATCCTGCTTGCTGTATGGAAAATTAATTGAAGGGTGCCGAATGTAGAAGTGGAGAGCCCATTTAGAAATCTCCTGCAGTAGAGGCAGTACTTGACAGCTAGACCCAAACTCCTTCCTCATACACAAACGGAATCTGCTCACTAAAAGTTATAACCAAAGAAAATAAAATCGTTGTAGGAAGCATGTAAACTTGTCATGGGTACTAGATTTATTTCTTTATTATTATTATTATTATTATTATTATTATTATTATTTTGGTTTTTCGAGACAGGGTTTCTCTGTGTAGCTTTGCGCCTTTCCTGGAACTCACTTGGTAGCCCAGGCTGGCCTCGAACTCACAGAGATCCGCCTGGCTCTGCCTCCCGAGTGCTGGGATTAAAGGCGTGCGCCACCACCGCCCGGCTATTTCTTTATTATTTTAATGGAAATTAAGGAATAAGTTGTAAAATGTTTAAGTGACGGGAAGAACTGAAAAGACCTAGTGCTTAGGACATCGTACTGTTTGTTCTTCCACACATTGCTGGTCTAGGTTTGTTGAAAATAAGCTTCAAAAGCTTAAATGTTGCCAAACACGGTGACATATGCCTGCAGTCTCGATACTCTGGGTCCTTGGCCAGGAGGATCACAAATTCTATCCAGGAGAAGGAAGAAGAGCAGAGTCAAACTCTGAAGAAGTAATTAGTTATGAGCAAATCTATTCTGTGGACAAATAAGAATATAGGCAGCTATGGCGGGAATTAAGAGCAGGGGACAAGCTTCACCATTTTCATGCCAGGATTGGGCTTTTAGAGTTCTATTAGAATGATGTTTCTAAACCTGAAAGTTGAGAGTAAATCCCCAAAGTTGGATGGCTTCAGAAATATAGCCAGACTATGGGTTTTAGCCAGCTAGTCATGTGATTTTAGCCAGCTAGTCACACTGTATGTGGGGTGCAGTAAAGAAACCACAGAAATGGCCACTCCATGGGTGGAAAAGGGAAATGTTTATTCCGAACTGCTAAGGCTGTCTGTCCGGGAAAGCAGAAGGAAGAGAGGGTTGGGGAGAACCCTGCAGGTTTTAAAGAGAATGGGTCGGAGGTGAGAAGGGCCAAAATGTTAGTATAGGGCTTCGGAATGCATAATGGTCTCTCCTGAATGTTGACAAGGGAGCCTGGACGCCAGCGTGACCTTTTTTTTTTTTTTTTTTTTGAGATAAGGTTTCTCTGTGAAGGCCTGGCTGTCCTGGAACTTACTCTGTAGACCAGGCTGGCTTCAAACTCAGAGTGGCATGGACTTTGATATGAAACCACCTGTGCATGTCAGTGGAGTCGTATGTCCCTTCTGCCAGTGGCAAGGAATGGACTCCTTTTGGGGACAGAAAACCATTTCACAAGTTCCTGAGGAGCGCTGGCTTTTATATAACTGTCAGAAATCCTTCTATAGTTCAGGTTGAGCTCATTTCTAGATATATTGCCTGCCTGAGACCTCATAGAAACCATCATTTAAAAAGGAAAAGGTTGGACCAGCAAGATGATTAGCACATAACTGTACCCTCTACAATCCTGGGACCCCATAGTAGAAAGAGAGAACCAACTCCTGAAAGTTGTCCTCTGACCCTTACATGTGTGCCTTCACTCACACAGTACCACACACATACAATACATTTTTTTTAAGAGATGAGTTTTTTTTTAAAGGAAAATGTCACTGGTTTTACCTCTAATCATAAAAACAATACCTATTAAGCACAGGAATGTGAGGAAAACAATTACAAAGGGAAAAACTTGTAATTCCTTTATTCCAACTAAGTCTTATGATTTTAGTGTAGTTTTGGTGTCTGTTTCCTTCTGTGTGTGTGATATATTCCTTTTGTTCCTCAAAAAAGGTAATAATACAATACATGCATTACATTATTTATATTGTATTTATTCCCCTTGATATGTTACTTTTCATGCCATTAAATAGTTTTCATAACATGGTTTTAAGTAATTAGCATTTCATTGAATACATATACCACTAACCGATTTACATAGTTAGCTTTTGTTAGATTCTGTGTGGTTGAAAATTAACATGAACCAAAGACACTCTGGCAGACTGTTCGTAATACATGCTTCCTAACATGCTTTAAAATGTTCACTCATGCTTGAAAGTACATACATTTTTCTTGCTGTGTTAGGAGTCTTTAATTCCATTGATAAGAACTATTTTTAAGGCTGGAGAGGTGGCTCAGTAGCCAAGAGTATAAACTGCTTTTAGAGAGGATGAGAGTTTGGTTCCCAATACCCATTTCAAGTGCTCAGATGTAGGCAGATTTTTCTTTGGGCCATCAGCTCACAAAAAAACGACATGGAGACTTATTATTAATTATGAAAGCTTGGCTTGTCCCACTAGCTCTTATAACTTAAATTAACCCATTTCTATTCATCCACATGCTGCCATGTGACTGGTTACTTTTACATCTCCTGCATACATATATCTTACTCCCTCTGTGTCTGGCTGGTGAATCCACCTTTCTTCTTCCCTGAGACCTCTCTGTCACCAGAAGTCCCGACTAACTTCTTCCTGCCTAGGTATTGGCTATGAAGCTTTTTTTTTTCTTTTTTTTTTTTTTTGGTTTTTCGAGACAGGGTTTCTCTGTGTAGCTTTGCACCTTTCCTGGATCTCGCTCTGTAGACCAGGCTGGCCTTGAACTCACAAAGATCCACCTGGCTCTGCCTCCCGAGTGCTGGGATTAAAGGCGTGTGCCACCACCGCTGGCAGCCATGAAGCTCTTTATTAAACTAATCACAGTAACACATCTTCACACAGTGTAAAGGAATATTCCACAACACTCAGAACTGCCTGCAAGTCCAGCTACAAGGGAAAGCCTCATGCTCTCCTGGCTTCCTCAGGCAGCTGCACTCAAGTGTACTACCCCACATGGACATCTAAAACAGTTCTTGACAGAGGTCATGTTGAGGAGGCAGAGAGTGTGTTCACAAATAACCTCCCTTACATGGAATTTTGTGCTAGTGACACACGAGACACAGCAGTAGATTTGGCATTTTCCCAGGTAAGACGTCCTGCTTTAAAAGCCTGACCAGCTGGTTTCAGTCCCTAGAACCAACAGTGGAACCAAATTAAGTCCTATGGAAGCCACCAACTAACATCATCACCCTCCCGTGGTTGGCGTATAATTATGACAAAAGAAACTGCATTTGCTGCCCAAGGCTTGTGTGACCATGGGCCACTCTGAATGTCAGCTTTCCAATTCTGCAAAACCCAAAAAGTTGGAAGACATAGTTAGAGTCAAGAATTATAAATATGTTTTTTCATTAAACTAACATTGTTTTAGCCCATTTAAGGTGCTATAAGAAGATGCCAAATCTTTCTAAACATCTGAAATTTATTTCTCACAGTTCTGTAAACTGAGAAGCCCAGGATGAAGGCATTAGCAGGTTTGGTGTCTGTTGAGGACCTGCTTCCCACAGGTAATCCTGTATCTTTACTCTGTATCTTCACACAGCTAAAGGAAGAACACTGGTCTTATTAGCCCCGTGTAAGGGCACTAATCCCACTCATGAGGCTGCTCCCAAAAGACCTGATATCTCCCTGTGTCCCTATCTCATAGTAACATCACACTGAAAGTTAAGTTTCAACAGAGAAATTTTAGGTCACAAACTAGGTTCAGACCTAGTAACCTCTTCTGTGTTTTCTTTTTTGGCTTCACCACAAGTCCTTGCAAATGGTACTACAATAGCAAGAAAGTGGGATAAGATGCATGGATCAGACTCTGCTGAGATCGTCTTTGAGACAGTTTGCTATCCCTCTTCTAATGAAGACACTTAGGACTCATAGTGTTGTGCCCTAGGCATGAGACCCCCAAAGAGACCACCAGAGACATGAACTCACCAAAATGCAAAAGCAAGGTTTATTGAAGCTGTTCAAGCCGCAGCAGGACCTTCATCAAGCCATCCAACATAGTAGAGGCTGGAGGAGGTGCCCGCCCCTCTGAAAGCTCAGATTTTAAAGGCAAAAACCATAAGGTTACATCACTTAGAGGTGCTAGTACAGGTACAATTCTGATTGGCTCAAGTTTTAGAGGCTTTCCAGAATTTCTGTGTTATATTACTTTGTAGTTTT